GTTTCACGGCCTAGCCATAGTGTAGGGTATGAATAATGAATGTTCTTCCATGAAATAAGATTTCATTTCCCAAAACGAAAAAATGCAAAACCGCTCCACAAAATAACAACAGCACCAGCAGCTGTAAGTGCCATAATGCTAACCTTCCATTTATTTTCATAGGTGGAATGCAGAATTCCTCTTCCTCCACATCCGGCCCTCACCATGGTGAGCAAATCAGGGCGACCTGCAAATACAGTCGAGTTCTTCACAAGCGCTTCATTGATGACGTCACTTCCGTTCAGCACGACTACCAAGCGACTACCAAGGTAAAGACTGTAAATGTCGCCATACTTCTTGCTTAACCTGGTAAAGTCTTTGTAGTTGTCTTTTCCAATACAATAGGCAGCACCTTTATTTAGGAGATAATAATGGGAAATTAAGTTTTAACTTAATGAACTCATAGAGAGGGAAAGATTTTTTGTCATGCCATGTGAGCATTCCACGCGACAAGATCGAGTGTCTGAATGCGTGAAAAAAGATATGTTATTTGAAAAAGCAATGTCATGTGATGATATATGCGTGACAAGAGATGTGACAAGAATGTCATATGTCAAGAGTATGTCAATGTGACAGTAGTGTGTTATGTGACAAAGCAATGTCATGTGATGATAACGTAAGCGTGACAGGAGATGTGACAAGAATGTTATATGTAAAGAGTACTGTGACTAATGTCACAGGGGTGTGTTATGTGACTAAGCAATGTAATATGACAATGTATATTGTGTGACAAGGTATGTCATATGACAAGAGTATGCAATGTGCCAGTGCCAGTGGTAGGTCATGTGAACATACCATGTGACAAAAGCACATGTGACAAAAGTATATTTATAGTGATAGCGTAACATTTAGAACAGCATATCATGTCACCTGATGTAGTTTCACACGTAAAGTAGGGGGGAGGTGGTGAAGATATAAAGATGAAAAGATACAAGAAAGAGAGGAAACAGAGGAACAACCAAAAAAGATGGAAACAGAGAACCAAACAAAATATGATGAGATGAGAGCACAGGAGACAAACAGAAAACAGAGGAACAACCAAACTATGACCAGTTGATGAGAAAAGAAAACAAAGAGATGAAGATGAAAGGACACAGAAGAAACACAGGAACAGAGCAACAACCAAATTATGATGTCATGAGGAAAGAAAATAAAGAGAAGAAGATGAAAGGACACAGAAGAAAGACAAGAA